TGTACCGAATTGATCTCACCTCAGCAAGGTTGGCCGAAGGAAGCCATATATGGCTCGCGCAACCCTAACACGAAGGTTTAGCCTCACTTGCATTTTCTTTCTCTTTCTTTCATATTACATGAAACGTGGCTTAATGTCACCCTTTTCTTTCTTCTTTTTCTTTTTCCTTTTCTTTTTTCGTTTTGGGCTCGACGTGGCTTAATGTTACCTTTTTCTTCCTTCCTTTTCCTTTTTTTTTTTTTTCCCGTTTTGGGCGCTACGTGGGCCAAGCTCATTAGGAAGCAAATGTTCCCTAAAACCATTAATTAAATTTTTTTTATCTTCTTTTTTTCCAAGATATTTTAACAAGATTATTTAAATGTGACATTTCCGTAATCTTAGATGATAGTATTTATTTCTTGTTTTAACAAAAATTTGTTTAATTAGTTTTATTTGATACATATGTAATAATAATAATAATAATAATAATAATAATAATAATAAATCATTATTATTATTATAGTGATATTCTCTTATCAATATTAGTGTTAATTATATCTATTATGAAAAAGAGTTATTTGAATGTGACAATCTTTTAATCCTAGAACTTAAGAATGTAAGTTGTGATAGCTTATTATCTTAAGTTGAGACATCTTTTTAATCTTTGAATTTAAAGTACAAGTTGTGACAACTTGAAATCTTTAAATTTTTTCTCCAAAATTAAGTATCTAACAAAAAATCTTTTAAATATATACCACAACAACAACAACAACAACAATAATAATAATAATAATAATAATAATAATAATAATAATAATAATAATAATAATAATAATAATAATAATAATAACAGTTATAATAATAATAGTAATAGTAATAATAATAATAATAATAATCATAATCAAGATCAAATATTTTACTGAATTGACTTTGGTGTACACCTTTATCAATCTTATATTTTAGGACGAATGAGCTGACATAGTTCAGTAATCCTAAATTTAAAACTTTAATAACAATAAAAAAATGTATCAACACACAAATATTTTCTACATATAATTATGTGACTTTGATTCTCCATTTTACATGGAGATATGTAGGAGCAGGACATCTCTCTTGTTGAGCTAAAAAAAATAATATTATCTTTCTATTTTATAACAATAATAATAATTTTAATTTTTATAAAATAAATGCACTAGTTAAATAAAATACATTTGATTATTATAATTAATTTTGATTAATTTATGATGAGATAAATAATTTATAAGTTATAAATAATTTGTTTAATTAATTAAAAGTAATTGTCTTTAGACGAACGTTGTAAGGTGCTAATACTTTCCTTACACGTAACCGACTCTCAAACTCAAAAATCTGATTTTTGTAGACCATTTTCTATTTTGTGGTCTTTCCAATGTTTTTTTCTTCATAAAAATAAACATTGGTGACGACTTCATGTATTTAATTGATTTCGTCGACCCGTTGCGATCTCGGTTGCGACACCCTTTAAAAGTAAAAAAGATGTTACATTCTTACCCTTGTGTTCTCCTTCCTTTACAGAGTCTTCTTCAAGCTCTACCACCACCTTATCCTCCACTTCCTCATGCTCTAGCACCTTGTTGATATGCACCAACTATCCCCAAAGCCTCAGCCATGTTTACTCCCAGCCTAAGCCCAAGAAAAAAAAAACCTCCTCCAACAGTACCCCACTCTTGTGTTGTGATGCTGCAACTATTGCTTACAAGTGTTACTTGCGAACGACAACTATCATGACTTACTAACATTAGCATCTACTTCCTTTTCCTTCATCATATTTTGATGTTAATTATTGTATCTCTCACACAAACTAGTTTAACTCCACCATGTTATTTCTACATGTTGTAATGGTTGCAACGTCATGGCACGAGGGTGATGGCACTATCAAAGGAGGTTTTTTCTTGAGCTTAGTTTGAGAGCAAACATGGTAATGGCTTTGGGGCACTTGAATTATATGAGCAGGGTGCTAGAAGGGGAGAAAGAGGAGGAGGAGGATGAGGTGGTGGTGGAGCTTGAAGAAGACTACGTGAAGGAAGGAGAATCCAAGGGTATGAGTGTAACATCTTTTCAACTTTTAAGAGGTCTCGTCTCATTAAAAAAAGAGGAAACCATGGGGTATCAATTTAACATATTTTCAACTTTTAAGGGGTATTACTATATGTCCAAATAGTCAAGGAGACTACAATCTCAAAAATATACAAGGGATGCGGGTGTAATTTACTCTATAAGTAATCAAGTCATTAGTTAGGGTACTCTATAAGTAATCAAGTCATTAGTTAGGGTTGTTGTATTTGAAGTGAGTTTGGTTCATTTATGTTTGCCAAAATGGTTGGAGAAAGCCATGTGTTGATGTTTTGGAGGGTGAATCTCTCCAGTTATTAGAAGCTTTGAATTAGGCTACTAATTTTAACCTAATAGATGTCAATTTTTCGATAAATTGTAAAAGAGTTGCTAATAACATTCGACATTCTGATCCTAATTATTTTAAAGTTGGAACTATTTTAGAAAACTGTAAAGTTATCTCATCCTAATATCCAAATTTTTATGTAGAGTTGATTAGGGGACAAATTAATGTAATTATTTTGTTTTTAGGGAAACTACTTCAAATGCTAATCTTTTTATTTATAAAAACTACCACACATTGTATTGTTTCTAATATCGATAATAAAATTCTGTGAGTTTCCTTTGTTTAAAAAAAAAAAAAATAGATAGCACAACTAACAAACAATACTTGCTTCAACTATGTGATCATGCTCAAAAGTGGGAATGTAAAGAACCAACGAACTATCCATTTTTCATTAAAAAAAAGAGTAATTAATTTTAATACCACCAGGTAATTCTTTTACAACAACTGAATTATAAAAATGTGGTAGCTTGACCTCTTTCTCATTGATAGGTATATATATATATATATATATATATATGAACATATCAAGTGAGATTATGAAAGATGAGAAGGTTAAAATATAACTCTTAGATTAATTTTCTCTCACTTTATTAATCTAAGGGTTATATTTTAACCCTTTCATCTCTCATAATAAATTATCTCTCACTTGATATGCTATATATATATATATATATATATTCATACGGGACAAAAAAGAGTAGTTGGATGAAAGTGCTTTATTTCTTAATTAATGTTATACAACTAAAACTGAAAATACAATTAGCTAATTCACAACTTGTCCTAGTATGACAAAAATAAAAGGGATAAATTAAAGTAGACAAGTTGATCACAAAATACTAAAGAAAGACGCTGAAAAGTTCAAAGTCTTCCTCTCAACGTCGATGATGCGCTAAATATTTTCTAATAAACTTACATGTGTATAATCTCTACTATATATAAATGTATTCGTGTATATAAACGGGTACCAGGCTTGTATATTACTTTGCTCTGCATATTTTTGAGATCATATTTTTTATATTCATTTTAAACAATTAAATCTCTAAATAGAAATCACTCAATTATGCACTTTTTTTTTTATTTTGTTTTATCTTTAATCTATATAATTATGTAATTTATTCCTCACTATTACTTATTTTTATTTTATTTCTTGTTATTATGTAATTTATTATTTTATCGCTCATATTATGTAATTTCAAATTGGTGGCTTAGATTTTTTCATGGTTTATATATTTCTGATCCAAAAATCACATATATTACAATGGCAGAGATTAATAAGACTCACAGTCACGGTCCATTAAAAAATAAATTAAATAAATAAATATTAAATGACAAACATAGTCCATTAAAAAATAATGGAATGCAAACCAAATTTGCTATGTAATCCAACTTGCAGATGAAATATTAAAGAAACTCAAAGTCCTCCTCCGACTATGGACTTGGCTATGTATATAATGCTGAACAACAAAAAGTTTTGCACTCACTTCAAAGCAAAAGAGAGAGCTAAACTAAAATGGCAGAAACTGCAGCGTCCTTGGCCGGTCAGTATTCAGAAAATATTCCTCAAGTGGTAGTGATTTAAACTCTCCAAAAAGTTTTTCAAATCCTACTCAAAGGCTTAAATCACTAACACCTTGGACAAAGCAAGAAGTGTTAAAAAGAGAAAAAGAAAAACTTGAAAGAAAAGCACGACTTGCAAAAATTTCTCAACCATTAGAGTATACTTGTGTTTTATAAGTTATTTATTCGCTTATTTTATTGATGTGAGACTTATTTATATCCTAACAACATATTCATGTCTCAAATCATAAAAGACATTGAAATATAATATTGACATGTATAACCACATTCTCAAACAATATCACTAACATTATTGTTTAATTACATTAACGGATCAGCTAAATCACAATATTTTCACAACTTGCTCTACAATAATTAGTTTTAACATGTATAGCCACGTTCTCATAAACAATATCACTAACATTATTATTTAATTACACATTAACGGATCAGCTAAATTACAAAATTTTCACAACTTTCTCTACAATAATTAGTTTTCAGTTTTCACACTTTCATGGTTTTACATTGAATTAAATTTGAAACTGTACAAATTCAAATCGAACCATAATTTTTTTTGTTGTCAGATGCGACGACTTTTTATGAGATGCGATGATATTTAACTATATTATAATGGCAAATTATTTAAAATTTGGGTAGCGTAATATGCTATGGATATGGTGACAACTAATTGACATTAAAAGATTGCAAATTTAGTACTGGCATGCACGTTCCCACGAGTGTGTGAAACTAGCGCAGCTCATGTACAGTTCATTAAAAGATGGCAAACTACCATGTGATTTTGGACAACTGGACGATACTTCAATTTAGCCGAGCCAAATATATTGTGACTAAGTGATGTTTAAATAATCAAATAAACATTACAATGACAACTGACAAGCGCGGTCCATTTAAATAATAATCGAATACAGATCTATAAATTTACTATATATCCAACTTGCTGTATAAATATTAAAGAATGGGTGGTAAGTCAAACTGAAAGTCCTTCTCTTACTATATACTTAGATATATATAATCTTAAAGAACATAAAGTTTTGCACTCACCACAAAATCACAGAGAAAAAAGAGAGCTGCTAAACCGAGATGGCAGAAACTGCAGCGTCCTTGGCCGGTCAGTATTTGCTTCCTAAAATTTTGGAAGCTTTGAAAATGCTTAGAGATCTCCCAAAAGAAGTTGCAGACATTACAGAAGAACTGGAGAGCTTTCAAGATTTCATCAATGATGCAGATCAAGTGGCTGAAGCTGAAGAAGATGATGGTAGGCGTGATAGAATCAAAAAAAGGGTGATGCGGTTGAGAGAAGCAGCTTTCCGCATGGAAGATATCATCGACGAATTCTCGATTCATGAGGAAAACAATCCTCACGATCCTCGATGTGCAGCTTTACTCTGTGAGGCTGTTGAGTTCATCAAAACTCGGATCCTTCAACTTCAAATAGCATATAAGATTCAGGATGTGAAATCACTTGTTTGTGCTGAAAGAGATGGCTTCCAAAAGCAATTTCCTTTACCAACAAAACCGAGTGGTTCTAGAGGAAATCAGAATGTCACATGGCACAAGCTTCGAATGGATCCTCTATTTATTGAGCAAGATGAGGTTGTGGGCTTTGAGAGTCCAAGACGTACGTTGAAGAATTGGTTGATAGAGGGACGAGAAGAGCGCACTGTCATCTCTGTTGTTGGTTTGGCAGGAGTTGGAAAAACCACTCTTGCTAAGCAAGTTTTTGACAATGTCCATAACGACTTCGAGTGCCATGCATTGATCACTGTGTCTCAATCCTACACTGTAGAAGGACTGCTGAGGGATATGCTGCACCAGTTTTGTAAAGAAAAGATGGAGAATCATCCTGCAGATGTTTCTACCATGGATCGAAGATCGTTGATTGAAGAAGTCAGAAAGCAGTTGCGCAACAAGAGGTATGTTGTCATGTTTGATGACGTGTGGAATGAAAAATTTTGGGATGATGTTGAATCTGCTGTAATTGATAATAAAAATAAAAGTAGAATATTAATTACAACCAGATATGAGAAGGTTGTGGACTTCTGTAAGAAATCTTCTTTTATTGAAGTGCATAAGCTAGAAGAACCTTTAAGTGAAGAAGAATGTTTCAAACTGTTCTGTAACAAAGCCTTTAAGTATGGTTCTGATAGACGCTGTCCAGAAGAACTTAAAGATATATCTCTTGAAATTGTTAGAAAGTGTAAAGGCTTACCTCTAGCAATTGTGGCTATCGGTGGTCTTTTATCTCAAAAAGATTTTTGTGCACATGAATGGATACTGTTTAGTCAAAATCTAAGTTTAGAATTGGAGAGGAATTCTGAGTTAAACAGTATAGGAAAGATTTTAAGTTTAAGTTACTATGATTTGCCGTATAATCTTAGATCACGTTTATTGTATTTTGCAATGTATCCTGAAGATTATGAAGCTAAATCTAGTAGATTGATTAGGCAGTGGGTAAGTGAAGGGTTTGTCAAACATGAAACCGGAAAAACATTGGAAGAAGTTGCACAACAAGAGTTATTAGAGTTGGTCCGCAGAAGTTTGGTGCAAGCATCTTCAATTAGCATTGATGGCAAAGTTAAAGGATGTCGTGTTCATGACTTAATACATGACATGATCCTTAGAAAAGCTAAGGAAACAGGATTTTGTCAGTATTTTGATGAGCATAATGAATCAGTGTCAAGTGGGATATTCAGACGCTTAATAATAACAACAGATTCCAATGATTTAGTTGGAATTGAAAGATCACACATTCGGTCAATTCTATGTCTCAAAAGGAACAGGTTAACTAAACAATTCATGGACAGAATCTTTTTAAAATACATGCCATTGAGGGTACTTGAGTTTGAAAATTTTGGATCATTAGATTTTCCAAAAGCTTTATGGAATTTAATCCACTTGAAGTATCTAAGCTTTAGGAATTCATGGATAGGAAGCCTTCCAAAATCCATTGGTGAGCTCCAGAACTTAGAGATCTTGGATGTACGAGAAACAATGGTGGTTGACATACCAAAGGAGATTAGTAAGATTAGAAAACTACGTTATCTTTTGGGTGATGAAATATCTTTTGTTGCAACAAAAGACTGTCTTGGAAGCATGACATTCCTGGAAAAGATACGGGTCCTCAGAGTAGATGATGAAGGAGTGGTAATTAGAGAGCTAGGAAAGCTAAAGCAATTAAGGAACCTGAGAATTTCTAGTGTTAGGGCAGAACACACCAACACTCTATGTTCCTCCATACATGAGATGCAGTTCTTGGAGGTACTACATATTCATGTAGTAAGTGGCCATGAATTTATAATTGACCTTCCTCATATGTCATCCTTGTCAACACTTCGGAAGCTCTTTCTACATGGAAAGTTAAAAAAGTTGTCAAATTGGATTCCACAGCTCCAAAATCTTGTGAAATCAATCCTACACTGTAGAAGGACTGCTGAGGGATATGTTGCATCAGTTTTGTAAAGAAAAGATGGAGAATCTTCCTGCAGTTGTTTCTACCATGGATCGAAGATCGTTGATTGAAGAAGTCAGAAAGCGGTTGCGCAACATGAGGTATGTTGTCATGTTTGATGACGTGTGGAATGAAAAATTTTGGGATGATGTTGAATCTGCTGTAATTGATAATAAAAATAAAAGTAGAATATTAATTACAACCAGATATGAGAAGGTTGCAGACTTCTGTATGAAATCTTCTTTTATTGAAGTGCATAAGCTAGAAGAACCTTTAAGTGAAGAAGAATGTTTCAAACTGTTCTGTAAGAAAGCCTTTAAGTATAGTTTTGATGGACGTTGTCCAGAAGAACTTAAAGATATATCTGTTGACATTGTTAGAAAGTGTAAAGGTTTACCTCTAGCAATTGTGGCTATCGGTGGTCTTTTATCTCAAAAAGATTTTTGTGCAGATGAATGGATACTGTTTAGTCGAGATCTAAGTTTAGAGTTGGAGAGAAATTCTGAGTTAAATAGTATAGTAAAGATTTTAAGTTTAAGTTACTATGATTTGCCGTACAATCTCAGATCATGTTTATTATGTTTTGGAATGTATCCCGAAGATTATGAAGTTAAATCTAGTAGATTGATTAGGCAATGGATAGTTGAAGGGTTTGTCAAACGTGAAACCGGAAAAACATTGGAAGAAGTTGCGCAACAAAAGTTATCAGGGTTGATCCGCAGAAGTTTGGTGCAAGTGTCTTCATTTAGCATTGATGGCAAAGTTAAAAGATGTCGTGTTCATGACTTGATACATGACATGATCCTTAGAAAAGCTAAGGAAACAGGATTTTGTCAGTATTTTGATGAGCATAATGAATCAGTGTCAAATGGGATAGTCAAACGCTTAACAATAGCAACAGAATCCTATGATTTAGTTGGAATTGAAAGATCACACATTCGGTCAATTCTATTTTTCGAAAGGAAAAGGTTTACTGAACAATTCGTGGACATAATCTTTTCAGAATACATGCCGTTGAGGGTACTTAGTTTTGAAAATTTTGTATCGTTTAATGTTCCAAAAGCTTTATGGAATTTAATCCACTTGAAGTATCTAAGGTTTCGGAATTCATGGATAAGAAAGTCTTCCAAAATCCATTGGTAAGCTCCTGAACTTGGAGATCTTAGATGTACGACAAACAGGGGTGCTTCACATACCAAAGGAGATTAGTACGATTAGAAAACTATATTATCTTTTGGCTGATGAAATATCTTTTACGAAAGACTGTCTTGGAAGCATGACATTCCTGGAAAAGATACGCATCCTCAAAGTAGATGATGAGGGAGTAGTAATCAGAGAGCTAGGAAAGCTAAAACAATTAAGGAATCTGAGGATTTCTGGTATTAGGACAGAACACACAAAGAGTCTATGTTCCTCCATACATGAGATGCAATTCTTGAAGGTACTAGAGATTCATGTAGACTATGGCCATGAAGGAATTGACTTTCCTCATATGTCATCCTTGTCAACACTTCAGAAGCTCTTTCTACATGGAAATTTAAAAAAGTTGCCAAATTGGATTTCACGGCTCCAAAATCTTGTGAAATTGTCTTTGAATTGTTCAGAATTAACTAATGATCCATTGGAATCACTAAAAGATATACCGAATTTGTTGTTCCTTGCTATCTGTTTTGAAGCTTATAAAGGTGAAACTTTGCATTTTAAAGATGGAGGGTTTCAAAAACTAAAGAAGCTTGAGCTTAAATATTTGTACAAGTTGAATTCCATCTTTATTGAAAGAGGAGCACTACCGTCTTTGAAAAAGCTTGGATTAAATAGAATCCCAAAACTGAGGAAAGTACCGAGTGGCATTGAACGCTTAGAGAAACTACAAGTTCTGAATATCAAGAATATGCCCATTGAGTTTGAGCAGAGCATTGCTAGCTATGGAGGACAAGACCATTGGATGATCCGGCACGTGCCTCGTGTGCAAATTAAGACCACATTTATTGAAATTCGTGCGAGAGCTAGGCGTATGGGCCAAGTTACCGAATTGGTCTGATTAGAGCCAGGGCCCGACATGTATACAGACCCATTTATTAATTAGTAATTTGGCAGATGATAAACACACCTCCACTCTCGTATAAACACACTCCCTTTTTTAAAAAAAATATATAAAATATCTAAATTATCCTTATAAAAAATGAAATTCTTAAATTTACACTTCTTTTTCCACCCCCGTTCCCCACACCCCACACCCCACACCCCACACCCCACACCCCACACTCCCTTCCCCGCACCTCCAACAAATCGGCGTCGTTTACAGTAGGAGAAAACCCTCGCAACCATCCCAACCAGCAGGAGAAACCCTCGCAACCCTCTGCTGCTGAGCACAAAGTCAGTTTTATTATTGTGATTGAGATCAGTCAACACCACTCTGGTGCCTTCTTTGCTGCACAGTTGGATTCTTGCATCGTATCTGCCACATATATAAAAAATGTTAATTAGTCATGACTCATGACAATAATAACTAACAAATAAAAAAATTGGTTGGAACTTGGAAATTGGAAGTGGTCCTGATTTGTGTACATACCTGAAAGCAGGCACCACAACCGGCTCCATCTTTGAAGAGAGAAGCCACACCAGCTGCAAGGTGTCCACCACTTAAGCCTAGTGCCAAAGAGCCATACCCACATGCCCCAGCTTCACATGTCAAATTCACACAATAAATTAATTACATCGTTTTATAAGAAAATTGAAGATAGTAATGAACGAACGAATGTTGGTAATTACATGAAAGAGCAGAAGCTTTGGAGAAATAGGAAGCCTTGGATTGTTGAAGGCAGCGATCACAAGCAGTGGCTGATGAAGCAAGAAGGAAGAAAAAGAAGCAAGTAAAGAAAGTCATGGTTTGTGATTGTGATTGGTTTGAGGGTGTGGTTCAGAAAGCAAGGTATAAATATAGCATAGCAAGTTTAGGTTAGAAGAATATAGGAGGTACTGGTTGGGATGGTTGCGAGGGTTTCTCCTCTGTAAACGACGCCAATTTGTTGGGGTGAAGGGAAGGGGGGTGTGGGGGTGCGGGGAGAAGGAGGTGCAAGAAAAGGGGGTATAAATTTAAAAATTTTATTTTTTTTAAGGGTAATATAGACATTTTATATATATTTTTTTTAAAAAGAGGGTGTGTTTATACAAGAGTGGAGGTGTATTTATCATCTGCCTAGTAATTTTTATGTATTTTTATCTTCATGTATCTTTATCTTTATTATAATAAAAGAAAGAAAGTTTCTAACTCTCTTTTTTTTGCTCAAAATAAGAGTATTTATATAATTTTATTTTATCATAATTATTCTGAATTTTATTATTTTAATTTAATAAATTCTAAATCTTTAGTACTTCTGAACAGAAGAAAAATTCTTCCTCTTCTTCTTTGCTTAATACATTTCCCATAAAATTGTTTCTACTTTTTCTTGTACTCAAAGAAGTAATTATGAATATTTATTTTTTATGCATTGATTACAACTTTTCAATGTTAATTAATAATTTTCATTAATAGAGAAACATTACACGAGATCTGAACTCAATCATATAATATCATAAACCCTTCCTCTTCCTCTTCCTCTCTGCTTCATACGTTTCCCATCAAATTGCTTGCACTTTGTCTTCCACTCAGAAAAATAATTATGGATATCTATTTCTTATGTATTGGTTGCAGTTTTTTAATGTCAATTGATCTCAACTATCTTTTAATTTTTAAGGCATTTTTCTTTTCAAAACTTCATTCTGATTGTCCTATTCCATCATACTCTCTATTTCTAAAAATACTCTCTCCATATATACATCGTCCACTTTCCTGATTTGGGTACTTTTGTACTTCTAATATGAGGGTTCACACTTTCTATATCAATCATAGAAAAACTATTTTTAGGTAAGCCTGTATGAAGTTTTAATTTTAAAGGTTAGTTGTTTCAATGTTGATGTACAGTGAACATATTATTGAAAGTTTTTTTCTTTTTATTTTCATCTTCTTTTTAGAGGACATGGCTCAAAAGTTTACATTACTAAAGGATATTGTAACAAGGAAATTGATTGGAAGATAAGAGTTCTTATAATAAGATTGTAGAGGTTGTTAGAGTTTAAGAATCAATTACAAACAAATTCCTTGGAAATAATTTTGGTAGATGAAGAGGTTTTTTTTTTCCATAAATTATAACAATTATAAATTTCATTGTTGAATAGTGTAGTTTTTTGTTTTTGCTTCTGTTTGAAATTTTCATCTTCACCAAAAAAATTATGATTAGTAAGGATATTGTTTTCAAAATCAATTACAATGAGTCAATGATTTAAAAAAATTATGATTAGTAAGGATATTGTTTTCAATGTAAATTTTTTTTATATTGACAACCAATCATATCTTTTAATATATAATGTTATGTCAATTACTTATTTAATGAAATAAAAATAAAATAAAATAATTTAAAAAGTATGATAGATTGTCAGTATTCACAATTTTACTTCATTTACATTAGTCACTGTTTTTTCAACGTTAACTTATGTTTGCTTTAAATATTAGAGCTTAATTTCTATGTATCCAAATGAAATCATAATAATTAATACAAAATTCAACAAACTTACGATACACCAATGAGGTTGCCGGCAGAAGCAACAACTGCCGCAATTGTCCAATATACAACAAGAGGGATATGTTGCATGGCCTCAGCCAAGGAACGCACTTCCTCTATGTCATAACCCCTAGCAGAGATTCTTGACCACTCTATGAAGTGATTAAGCACTTCCACAAAAACTACGACCAGATCAGTCATATCTGCAGTGACATTTCTGCTTTCAACTTGGTTCAGCTGCTTCAACGAGTTCCCAAATTGTTCTGCTGTTTGAATCGCATTGAGGCGCCAAAATTCCCCATATTCCAAAGAGAAAGCAGCTAGAGATATTATTGCTTTCACATCCCAGGAGAACCCACTCAGTTGTCGAAGAATCTTAAGTGTTGTTTGGTGTGCACATTCTGGAGTGCCACGTGTCGTTATTATCTATAACAATTATATATCAGCATTTAGCACCACAACAAAACAAAAATTAATCCCCTAATTAAGTTCATCAACATATAGAATTAACCTGACAAGAAATCCGCTTCAGTGTAGTAAAGTCTGGTTTGAAACTCTCAACAGAAGTCTGTGGCAGAACAGCCTGTCCAACAATTAAATGTACCACGTGTTATTTGTTTATACGTAAGTAGAGATTTGACATAATTATATATGTGAATTGATAGAGTATAAATGTTAATTAAAGTGAAATTAAAGGGTGATGGAATTTGGTGAAGTACAGCAGTTGCTGAAACTTGAGCTGAAGCTGAGATCAAAGTGTTGTGGACAAGGTTGAGAAGGGTATCCTTGTCGCACTCTTTATCATCATTGACGTGGGTGAGATAAACTTTGTGCAGGATCTGAGAGTCTAGAAGCTCAAAAGGGTTCGGGAGTTGATCTTTCTGCTGTAGCGTGGTGGCACTTGCAGCTACGTTGGACAATGCCAATGCCATGATGATTAATTTGTATCTTCTGAGGTTTGTATTTGAGAGCAAGAGAAGAAAAGGTTTTGCGTTGTGATGTAGATGTAGAGATAGGTGCTCCACATATTTATAGTACTTTAGAATTCAGAGACTCCAAATAAACAGAGAGAGAGCAAAGCGGGGAAAAGAAAAACACAGAGTAGCTTCTGAAGCAGGCTGAGCGTGCATGAAACATGCTGTAATGATGGGGATTTTGCAATATACCCTTGAGTGATTAGGATTGTTGAGCAATGTGAGGTAGATTAGCAAGGGTATAATTGCTATTTCAGTTTAGTTATTTATCCAAGTTCTGCTTTTTTGGGGATCTTTGGTTGGTTAGGTTTTTTTATACAGGAAGCTAGCTATGCTTTGTGTGGGTGAATTTGGACGAATCAAACTTTTGCTTTTTGGAGCCAAAAGAAAAAGAAAAACGAACAAACATCCTATGTAAAGAAACCTTAATATACCGCTAATGTGTTGACAGGGTTGTATGCGTGGACGTGGAGTATTAACTTAACTACTTAAGTAACTCCAGATTAAGTAATTTTATTAGAGCAGCTCTGCCGTACCTTAACATTTTGAGGGATTTTGGAACCTTTCTTAGGTGGCATAAATATAATGGTTAACTAACACATATAGTGCCAAGTCACTTAAATGAATAGCTAAGTTATAAAAATTGCAAAATAGTCCTTCAAGTGTTAAGTTAAAAGTTTAGGATTATTTTTATTTTTAGTTCTGTAGTGGTGGCTTTACATAGGTAGAGGTTTCGACTAGTTCATTTCTTTTCTGCCATTGATACTTGAGACTTTCGTGGTTGTCTCATCTTACTCGGAAGGCTTCGCATGAGTGACGAGAGTTTCGTGACTGTTGTATCTTGGTCGGAAGGTAATTTTTATTGTTTTGGGCTTGATTTTCTTGGTCGTCTTTCAAGGTTTAGGGTTTGACATTGATTTTGTCCTTCGTTCTCTTCGTTCTGTAGGTTCATTCGTTACAGGTTTGCACCATTTCATTGCCATCGTCGTTCATTGTAAACGTTGTTGGCCGACTTTGAGGGTTTAGGGTTTGGCTTTCAAGGTTTAGGGTTTGACATTGATTTTGTCCTTCGTTCTCTTCGTTCTGTAGGTTCATTCGTTACAGGTTTGCACCATTTCATTGCCATCGTCGTTCATTGTAAACGTTGTTGGCCGACTTTGAGGGTTTAGGGTTTGGCTTTCAAGAAGGTCATCTTTATTGTTTTCGGGTTCGTTTTCTTGGTCGACTCTCAAGGTTTATAGTTTGACATTGATTTTCTCCTTCGTTATCTTCGTTGTGTAGGTTCATTAGTTACAAATTTGTGCCATTTCGTTGCCATCATCGTTAACTACTCGACGTTCTTCGTTTAGATTTTGGCTTTCGACTTTAACTTTCGAGAAGGTAATCTCTATTCATTGTGTTCCACTTTGAATTTCATAGTATTTTAATCAACAATTATTATTTTAGTGACCGATTATTTGTCACTAAAAAGGCCGAACCAGGTAGTCGACAACTGATTGGCCACGGAACACTCCATAAATACAGATCACCCCTAGTTAAGGATTAAGGATTACCCTTAATCAAGAGTTAAGAGTTAATCACATCAATAAGCCGATTAGAGGCGTATTACCTAATACGGTAATCCTGTCACAAGGCCCAAGGAAGTTAGGGCCATAAATGTCAGTATAAATAGCTCATGCCACGAGGTAACGTCACTGTTCATTAATTACTATCGATATCTGTGCTTTGTCCTGACTTGAGCGTCAGAGTGACTTTTGCAGGTACCTCCTCTCACCGGAATATTCGATTGGAGCTCTCGTTCGGCCCCCATAATACGAGAAGATTATTAGTGTGCCCTTCAGACAGGTACATTTTGGCGCCCACCGTGAGGCCGAATCGAGACAATTGTGAAGATTAACTAAGCAAAACAATGGCGATAACAAGGAGAATGAATACAAAAGATCACCAGACCGAAGAGGAAGAACGTGTTGAAGTTGTAGACGAAATCGATCTCTCCGAGATCGTTCGTCTGCTGAAGCAAGAGATGGCAATAATGAAGCAACAGCGGGAGAAGGATGCAAAGGAGCTTTCAGCCTTGAGAGCCGAAAACGAGGCATTGAAAAATCAAGATTCATCGTGGAAACCCACTTAGACCACTAACACGCAAACCCAGGGGTCCTATCAATCCCATGAGATCCACACCTCGGCCCCTCGTGCCTCGGCGGTAGCGCCCAAAAAGTTCCCCTCGGCCCTACCCACAGTTGGTCGTCCTACAGACTTGGCAACCATTGGATCGCACCGACACCCCTTCACCGCTTCCATTATGCAACCCCCTCTGATGGACAATTGGAAATCTCTGCCTATTGATAAATATGAAGGTACAACTGATCCTGATGAACATCTTGATGTTTTTCTGACGCAGGTAACGTTGAGTACCACCGATGATGCTGCTTTGTGCCAGATTTTCCCAACATCTCTCAAAGGCAGGGCCTTGAGCTGGTTC